CTGAAAGCTGAAGCCCTTTGTTCTCAGCTGACTCCTGGAGGCAAGACTGACATATTTTTCCACTTAGGCAGGCCAGTTTGTTTTTTCTGAATGTTAAATTTAGTTCCAATATGGTGAGGATACTGAAACAATGGCACCTGTGTTCAAAGTTGTTAACCTCCTCTGTAATTTTGATGCACACCATTCACAAACAACTAATGCCACTCCCCTCTTTGTGAACAGCCTATCTTGGAGACAAAAAAATGGAAGTGGTAGAGGAATTATAGAAATAGAGAGGCTTAACATGGTTCTGAACCTAAAGAATAGCAGGTAGTGCTGGAGTTTTCCTTTAAGATCTTAGAACAGTTGGACACCTGTAATCCCAGCACTTGGGAGGCTGGGGCAGGAGGATTGTCTCGAGGTGAGTCTGGGGTACATAGTGAGTTCAAGACCAGCCTGAACTACACAGTGAGAACTTGTCTTAAAAAGAAATCATGGGACAGAGACATAATACATAATTTATATTGAATTATAAGATTTTTCTGAAAGTATGGCCTCGATGTGCATCCAAATGTCTCTAGTTTCTAATTCTTTATGGCTGAGTAGCACTCCATTTTATTAAAACAAACCACACACACACACACACACACACACACACACACACACATTTTCTTCATCCAGTCTGTAGCTTTTGGACAATTGGGCTGTTTCCAAGTTTTAGTTATTACAAACTGTGCTGCCATGAATGTGGTTGCGCATATATCACTGTGGTATGATTCTTTTAATTCTTTTGGGAAGATAACCAGGAGGGGAATAGCTGGGTCAAATGGGACCTCTACCCCTAGATTTTTGAGGTATCTTACTGATTTCCACAGTGGTTGAACCAGTCTGCACTCCCACCAACAGTGGGGAAGGATTTGTTTCTCCCCACAACCCTGCCAGCATTTGTTATTGGTTGATTTCTTGATAGTGGCTATTCTTTCTGGGAGAGGTGGAATCTCAGCAGTTGTTTTCATTGGCATCTCTTGAATGACCAGAGATGCTGAACATTTTTTCATGTTTATTTGTTATTTCTACTTAAGTGAAATAAATAGAACACGCATGTAGACACTGAATAATTACTCTGGGGTGAGAAAGTAAAAGTGTAAATAAGGATCAAAATGTATAATAGTTAACGTGAAGTAGGAAGAACAGGTCCAAAGGAGAAGGGGAAATGCGAGGGGTAGGGGAAAGGAAAAAAGGGAATGAAATAAATATATGAAAAGGGAAAAATGGAAACAAAGTCTTTGTAAATAGAGAGGGATGAAGAGATTGAAGGGAGAGCAGGGGAATGGGGAAAAAAATAACGAAGATATATTACATTAAGGTAAAAATTCCCAATAATGAGTGTCAGCACATTTTTTACCTAAAATGTACCAAGAAAATTAAGGAATTAAAAAAACAAAAAGATGTTTCTAAATACAGTAGCTATCTCCTAGGCCAAATCCAAGTAAGGGGTAGTTTGCCTTAGTAAGAGGCACCTTTCCTTGTCATAAAAACAAAGTTGGCTGTAATAATTAAGAGTTTACCAGGAGAAGGCCTTCCATATTATGCTTTTCTTTTTAGTCCTCCTTCCTAAGAATTGCTAAAGCTTGCACTGAAGTTCAGTATCCAGGAAGACAAATTTACTGGTGTTGTTAAAAAGAGTCCTTTGGAGAAAATAAGTCAGTATTTTAGGCACTATGTGAAGAATGTCTGAGAACTGTAATATACACCCCAGGATTGAAGAAATTCTGAACATTATGTGCAGATGAGATTTATTGCAAAGCAAACATACCTGCCTGAGAGGCTAAAAGGCTTAGAGATTTACTCAGCCTAACCATTTTTATACCAGTTAAATTTTCCAATCCATTACATCCTTGTGCCTATATTATTTACTCTCTTATCCACTAACAGCAATATTGGAACCCTGAATTTCTAGATTAGGAAACTGAGGCCATATCACACTACTTCTCTATGAACCGTCCAATTAATTTAAGTGTGGTCATCTTCATCAAAAGTGAAATACCAACTTTTAGTAATTTTAGTTCATTAATTGGCAACGTATTGCACATTTATGAGCTTTCACTTTTTTCTAATAAAAAATCATTAATGATTAATATTGTCATCCTTTGTATCATTTATATAATGGAAATAAATTTTTTTGATGAGCTGAGCTATATCAGCTCATCTTTCAAATAAAATCCAGAGATTAATAGAAGAGAAAGGTCAGGTATGGAATAACTTCGTGTAATCTTAGGATCATAAGACTTTGTATTCTTAGGGGTGGGTACGAAGGTGCACGCATAGAACTTGGAAGGTGGAGGCAGGAAGATTGCCACAAGTTCAAGGCCAGCCTGAGCCGCATAGTGAGTTAGAGGCTAGGCTGAACTACTAGTGAGACTTTATTGTAAAAAATTGCATTGTTATGCTCAGAGGATAGGATCTATCACTGATTACAGGTCTAAAGCCATCAAGAGATAAATTTGTATTTTAAAACCTTTTGAACTGCCTTTGGAGGTCATCTATTATTGGTTGGTTGACTGTGAGTAGTGATGGAGAAAGTATACTTGGAGACGAGCTACCATAGATATGAGGAAATTTTCAGGTTGGCAGGTTGTTACCAGGAATCTGGGGTAAGAAAGGAGAAAGAATTATAAACTAAACTTTAGGGCAATTTATAATTGAGATTAAATGATAATTTTTATTCTAAATTGGATAATCAAAGTATAAATATAAGTATAGTTTATGCTTCCCCATAACAATGGTACCTCTTATAAGTGTTTAGTATTTTTATTGTAGGTTTCTCCTTTCTTAAAGATTAGGAAAGGAAGAGATGACTTAAAATGCACAGTACACCGTAGGATTCACTGTCTTGAATAGAAAAGGTGAGTTTACCAATGGAAAGCATTAGAGTTAGATATCACAGTGCCACTAGTTAATTGTAAAATCTGAATCATTTCCTTTCTGTACCTATTTGCTAATCTGTCAAATAAAGTTAATACTTTTTGCCTCTGCCCCTACCTTGCTTCATTCATCAACTCCTCACAGTTCTTTAAGAGATTAAAATTAGAACACGTGATGTTTTAAAATGTGTTCAAGCTGATATCATAGAGTAGTGCTTTAATATATGTTCTGGTAATCCAAATGTGAATATGTTCTTTTTTGTAGTTTATTGCAGTTTCAGTATATGGCTGAACAAAGACACAAGCTTGATGTTTTAAATGTCTATTAGCACACTGGATAAACTTCAGCTAATTATCTTGCAATGATAGGGTATAGAAAAAGTGACTTAAAATATGAATTCACATTTAGGTTTTTAATTAATTTTTCCTATAAATATTTACAATATATTAAACCTTTTGCATCCCCAGTTTAGAATAAGTTATACCCACGGTCTCTTCCATCTTTAACACATTTTAAGTCAGATATCTGTAGAATAAGATAGAATAATAAATAAACAGACCACAAGATGGCGTTTGTAGCTAATGAGTCCTTTTGCATTCTCTCGCAGTCTTTTAGGTTTTTGTAGCATTTACAAGTATACACTTATCACATGCTTCAGAGCTATGTAGAAATAATTTTAGAAGAATAATATGCAAATCATGTTCTTTTAAAGCTATATATATTTCTAAAATTATAAATTGGCAGATGATTTCTTGGAAGCTGAATTTAGACTTCTCTAAAAATGAAATTCAATGAATACTTTTGAGCTATTCCAAAATAATAGAAGTTACTTTTCTCTGGCAGTATCATCACTAATTTATTTGATTATATTACAGAATTTGAAAATACGCAGCTATTGAAAGTTTTCTTTCGTGTTTCAGATTTTAAGTTTAGGTGATAAGCAGTTAGTAAAATGTCACACACCCTATTGCCCTCATTTTAAGGGAGACTAACTTTTGCGGATGTTAAATAATTTTGTAATGATGTTGACCTAGTGAAGAAATAATTACTGAGCTTCAGTCTTTCCTCAAATGTAGATAATGCCACCTGAGACAACATTGAAATACTTAGGGGTTACTCAGTTACATTCCCACTGTTGGTTTTTTGAGAGAAAGATACAATTATTTTGTCACTCTCTGAGATATACTTGTAGAAGCACAATAACATCTGATTTTTACAAGAAATATATGATAAAGTTTAGCTTTTCTCTTGGTTTTCAGTTTTGTTTTCAGTACCGGGGATTGAATTCAGGGCCCTTTCATATGGTAGGTAAATATTATACTACTGAGTTAAATCCTCAGCCCTTTTTATTTTTTCATTTTGAGATAGGAAGTCTTGCTAAATTGCCCAGGCTGCCCTTGAGTTTGTGAGCCTCCTTCCTTAGTCTCTGGAGAAGCTGGGATTACATGTATGTATCATTGCATTCTGTGGCTTCTGCCGTATTTTAAAGTATCACAGTTATTGTTTTAGGCAAATTCCTAGAAATTTTGTC